CACCTCATGGTCACACAGGCTGGTGTGCTTCTTCCATGTGGGCTTTGTTGCTTCTGAGCTAGATAGCCGCTTGTTTATCTTCAAGCCTTTAAGATTCCAGACACTGTATCTTTTGATAGCCGGCAGTCTGACATTTTTAAGGTGAAGTGCTTATTGATCTAAACTGTGGCCTAATTTCTCTCCCATTAAGACCATTGGAAATATGCATACCCATGTATCCTTTACATATAGCCTACATACATGAGTCATCTTCATGGGTTGATTCATGTTCTCATATTCTTTAGGTTTTTCTCATAAAACTCAAGGTGAATCTGTCCATTTGTGGGGCCAAGGTTATTGCAGGCCTCATCTAGGTAGCTCTTTTCTCTTACCTAGAACTACTACAGCTGAGATTCAGTCACACACAAAGCCGCAAGGGCAGTTTGTAATAGAGTTAATAATTGGGAGAGTGGATTTAATATAATTGATTTGTATATTATTGATTTTAAGTTTAAAACATAATGTGATTGGCTCTTATTTCAGCAAGATGTATATAATAGGCATTCCCTGGTTAAGAAACTTCAAATTCTGGACAACACCTAATTACCCTTTAAGCTTCTACAAACTGGTCCTCACTCTGAAATGGTTGAACCTAGCTCTAGTCTGCACCATCTCATGACAGATTCATCACAAACACTGTCACTTGTTGCACTTGCATCTTTTACATCATTGGCTAGGCTTCTTACCTTATTTTGCACTAAAGTGAGGCTAAATAAAACCTTTATGTATCTGTTCGTAAGCCTCGGTGCCATAATGGTTAGCAAATTGGGCTGCTATCCGCAAAGGCAGCAGTTCGAATCCACAAGCTACTTAGTGAGAGAAACAAGTGGCTCTCTACTCCTGTAAAGATTTACAGCCTTGGAAATTCAAAGGCACAGTTCTACTCTGTCCTGCAGGGTCACTGTGATTTTAATTAGCTAGATGGCATTAAATTTGGTTTGGGATTTGGGGATGTACCTGCTCTGGCTGGCCCACAAATTCTTAAAGACACAGTTAGGAAGAGATCTTTTCCATTACTCAGAGACTGCCTGTGTTCCGTGGGAACTTTAAAATGGTTGTGGACAGTATGTATAAAATTATGTTTTGTCAGCATAGTTGATTCTAGTGCAAACTAGGTTAAGTCTGGTGTGGACCTCTTATGAGTAAAATCCAGCTTCTGCCTTCCTGGACCTCAACATGAATGTATGTGCCCAAGGAAAGCTCCCGAAAGCCCAGTGAGACTGTCAGTGTGGTCAGCAGCCTTCCAGGGTTAGAGAATAAACACTCAAAAGGCTGTCACAAAACTGGTCGATGAGTGCAAAATTATACTAATGAACGGAACACGTTCATTCTTCCCAACCTCCACATAGCTCGTACAGCTTCCTGTGGCAGGAGTGGCAATATGGAGAGAGCATGAAGGGGCTTCAAAATTTTTGTGGAAAAAGGAAACAAAAGGATACTGTGGAGAGATGTAATGGTGCATTTGTGGTTATGCTTGTTCACCATAGAAATGCAGTGCGAAGTATTGACGTTTTTCACTTTCAAGAAGTCATGCTTTAAGAATTACCAGTTATCAGGCATCAAAGAACAAAAAAATCATATCATTGTGTGCTCACCTTCCCGATACAATTGGTGAAGACAAATGGCTGCATAAGCAAATGTGGTGAAGAAAGCTGATGGTGCCCGGCTACCAAAAGATATAGCGCCTGGGGTCTTAAAGGCTTGAAGGTAAACAAGCGGCCATCTAGCTCAGAAATAACAAAGCCCACATGGAAGAAGCACACCAGCCTGTGTGATCACAAGGTGTCGATGGGATCAGGTATCAGGCATCAAAGAACAAAAAATCATATCATTGTGAACCATGGAGGGTGCAGAATGGGGTCCCAAAGCCCATCTGTAGGCAACTGGACATCCCCTTTCAGAAGGGTCTGGGGAGGAAACGAGCCAGTCAGGGTGCGATGTAGCATCGATGAAACATACAACTTTCCTCTAGTTCATAAATGCTTCCTCCCCAACCCACTATCATGATCCCAATTCTACCTTACAAATCTGGCTAGACCAGAGGATGTACACTGGTATAGATAGGAACTGGAAACACAGGGAATCCAGGATGGATGATCCCTTCAAGACCAGTGATGAGAGTGGCGATACCGGTAGGGTAGAGGAAAGGTGGGGTAGAAAGGGGGAACCGATGACAAGGATCTACATATAACTTCCTCCCTGGCGGACAGACAACCAAAAAGTGGGTGAAGGGAGATGTTAGACAGTAGAAGATATGACAAAATAATTATAATTTATGAATTATGAAGGGTTCATGAGGGAAGGGGGAGTCCAGAAGGGGGAAAATGAGCTGATCCCAAGGGCTCAAGTAGAAAGCAAATGTTTTGAGAATGATGAGGCCAACAAATGTACAAATGTGCTTGACGTACAATGGATGGATGGATGGATTGTGATAGGAGTTGTATGAGCCCCCCAATAAAATGATTTAAAAAATAATTACCGAATAAAACTATTTGTTTAAAAGTTATTTCAGAAAAAGCCCTCAGCTTTTGTGAAATTGTACCAAAGATAATATTTATCTTGATTATTGTGGGACATGTTAGCCAGCGAAGCAGTGGGGCTCATTGTGGTGTGTATTTGAATGATTTGTGATCACCACAGGAATGATTTAAGAGTTTGCTCCATCTCCAGAATTAGAAAGCCTAGAGACCCTTTGGAGATCAATAAGTACCTGTGCTAGCCCTTCTAAGAAGGTGCCGCCATTCAATACAAGCTTGAATACAGGTAACCTTGGCTTTGGTGGTGACCCAGAGGAATAATTTTATGCATTTTTAAAATGTATCTGATCATTTTAACTCCATCAAAGTCAAAGTGAATGATTTTATGTACATTTTCATTTTTTTAATCTTGTTTGGCATAAAGTGACTCTTCTAAATGACATCTGTTTTGTGGTCATAGGTTTTAAATTTTCAAACTCAGCCTGGCTAGCGATAGGGACTCTCCCGAGTTGCATGTGTCTGTCTGTGGCCCCTGAGAAGCGGTCATTCCCCGGTGTGCTCCGGCACATGAGCACCAGTCACCAGACATGGTGGAAGTGCTTCCCGTGTCTAAGTGTCTAAAAGTACTACTGCAGAGCATTTTGTGAAAAGCTTGTATCTCTTTATGCTGTAGCTTTCTCATGACCTGTCCCGTTTAAAGGCGCACTATGAGAAAAAGCTGAGAGATTTGATGGCAAACACTGTGGGAGCAGTAGAGATTCAGCAGCTAAAGCAAAAACATGAACTGAAGGTAGTATGGTTCATTTTCTGACCAGCCACGCTGAAAATGATTAGTTTAAAAACAGACTATCTGTAAGACAACAGGAAAATGTGACAGTTAAGGCCATGTCACTTTTTCTTAGTGGTTCTCAAAGTGTGGTCTAGGGACCCCATGCGTTCATGAGGCTCTCGCAGAGGGTCCATGAGGAATCCTTTTCTTCTTGGTAATTCCAAGATGCAATTTCTCTTTCCCTTTCATTCTTTCACGAGTGCACAGTGGAATTACCCCGAAGCTTCCTGACAGGTGGTGTTTCAGCAGATTGAATGCACAATCCAGCTGTCTCTAAGCCAGATGTGGAAGAAATGCTCAAAACTTCACAATAGTGGTCACTCTCCTCACAAATTTTATTGTTTTAGAAAATGCAGCTCATTATTATAGATATGTTATGTAAGATCTCATATAATGATATTACTATATCCTGATGAATGTTAATAAGTAGCTATTTAAATGCTCTCTCAGTTATGATTTCTAATACAGTCGTATAGAAAATCAAACCCAGATAAACACAACGTTCTTTGAGGTCTGCAGTGATTTTCCAAGAGTGCCAAGGGCTCCTGAGACCAAAGCGTTTGAGAACTGCTGGATTCAAATATAAGACTAACATAATGTTCAGTTCTTTGCAATGTGTTTTAAAAGGGCACTGTCAAGTACATTTACTTCAATTTGATATTCCTCCCCACCCCACCCCCCACTCCCGTTTTGTTCTTTTGTGATTTGTTCATATGTGTTCAATGGTGCTTGGCTAAAGAAAAATGTTCATCTACAACCCTCCTTCTCTGATAGTCACTTGCTTTATTCTAAAATACTTTTGTGCTCCAGGCTTTTAAAGGACTAACAACCCCCAGGAATCACACCATTTCCTTAAGTTCAGTGGCCCATTGGTTCCCATGCAGGAAAAAATTACATGGGCCCATAAGGCAGCCGTCCACCTGCAGTGGCCGGCAGGATGGCAGGATTTCAGGGGAGCTGTGAATGCTTTCCGTTTTGAAAATCCTCATCTGTACAGATGGCAGGAAGCACACAGGAAGAGGAGCAGGGAATGAAAGGGAATGCGAACACATGTTAGGAAAGAGTGAGGAATAAGATTGGGCAAATAATTGAGGCCCAGGCCTAGCGGGGTTACCTCATTTAGGGCATAAGAAATGGTTGTGCCAAGAGTCAGAAATACTATTATCTGGGGGTGGGGGGGTTGTGTTCTTGGACAAGCAATTTAATATTTCTAACACTCTCTGTCTTTACCTGCTTGATGTGGAGATGGATGCTAAGGCTCTTTCAGATCTACAACAGATCTACTCTGTTGACGTGAACTGGACCAGGGGTTGGGTGAAAAACCAAGGTTTAGCAGTGAAAGTCTAGGATTAAGGAATAATAGGATTTAGGAGGCTACCTTGGTAAGAAAAATAATTGGAGGCATCCTGTCATGGCACAAACACAGGTAAATTGTTTATGATATATCTCCCTTCCTCAGGATATCCCATTAGGACCACACATGCACCATATGTAAAATGAAATCCGCATGCCCTAGCCATGACCCACTCCAACTACAATTTCCAGTTATACAACAGTCCTCCTACTCTGCTGTGTTAATAACTTCAAGGCATTGACTTCTCTGACTTCCGTAGCCCATACACACAATACATAATCATGTCCCACTGACATAGCATTCACGACATCTCGCCTATCTTCTGTTCTTTATTCCACTGCTGTAGCCATAATCTTGGTCCATTTACCTTGTGCTTGTTTACTACAAAGAATTTCTTACTGGTTTTCTTCCCAACATAGTCTATACATCCCACTCTGCAGAGAAGCCAAGAGTGACTTTGATGTCATTCACTCAATAGAATTAGAGGAATGTTGTGCAGTTGGGGTCATGATTAGGGAATGTGAACGTGGGTTTAATTTCAGTTACTTTGTGTGTGTGATCTTCGTGGAAATGTAGCTGTAGACATAAAGGACTTGAAGAAATGGTCAGGCTAGAGTTATCGATGGCGGCAATCACTAAGACTATATACACTCTCCAAGAGAATGAAGAAGAGCAAGTAACAGAGCCCAGATCTGCAACGTCACAGCTACAACATCCAGGGCACTTTGCTAAGTAAAACAGATGCCCCTTCTTCTGGGAAGACCTAGTGCACATTTAGGCAAGACTTGCCGGCAGGCAGGGTATAGGTTAAACACCATTTGGCAATTGCTCCTTAATCCATTGGGCATCTCTTCATACCAAGTAGACAACTAGAGGCAATAGTGTGGAAGGCTTGAGTCTGGTGTTAGGTTAACAGGATAAAGGAATCCCATGGAAAGAGGTGAAGAAGTAGAGGTCGAGATAAGTGGACAACTAAGAAAGTGCAGGTCAATGAAGTCAATAGGGAAGAGAAGGCCAGGGAGGGCGAAGGAGGCTGCCAATGTCAGGGAGGTCATTTTTTAAAAGACATTGATGTGTTTCTTGGGGGGGGGGGTCACTTGGGCTTTCTCTAAAAGAGAAACCAACGACCAATGATAATTACGTATGATATATTTTTAAAGCATAAGAAATATAAATAAAATATTACAGTTTGTCATTTGGTACTTTTGAGTACCTGTGACAATATAGGTATTAAATTAAGAATCTGGAATAAACTCCATTTCAAATGGAAATTGCCATGTTTTTATACAAGTAACTCACATGTTGTACACACACACACATCCCTGAAAAAAAATCATGCAACCCATGTATGTTAGTTTCCAAAGAGCACTATGTGCACATTGTATGCACATTATTTGTGTGGGTATACTATCTGTAAACAAATAACATAGCGTTTCTGACTCAAACTTGTGCAAAGTTGTGAAAATCTTGATTCTTCCAATCGGTGTCTACCTATCTGTCATCTGTCTATCATCACTTTTATATACACATGTAATCCTAAGTATAATCACTTAGCTTGATTTTGCAATTTGAGTGATCATAAGTGGCCCCTTTGTTTTGAATTGGTCCTTGTGACCATGGTAACAAGGGGTCCTCTGGAAACAAGTGGCCATGCCTCTACATGGGAGCACGTTGGTCAAGAATAGCATCCATGAACACAGGTTACATGGATAATGCTAACTTGGAGACATGAAAGTGTGTAGTGAAATTTTATTTTCTCTCACTCTTGCCTGTAATTTGGGGCAAGCTATGTTTGAGCACCTTAGCTGTTGCTTATTTTTTTTAGGTGATGGCTACAATGTGATTATAAAGATCATAACATTAGACTTTTAAATGTAGTATGAAACTGAAAACCCATGTTAAGGAAAGACATTTTAAAATTAGCATTTTCTTAAAAACCAAACGAAAACATACACACTTTAAGAAGCTCTGCCAGATTAAAAAAAAAAAAAGTCAATTGCAGGTAAGGTTTCAAGACCAAACTACTTGACAGTATCCTTTTAAAACAAACCCAGGCGACTAGTAGCTATTTTTTGCACTCTGCCATTCCTGACCTTTCGTCCTCTTTTACAGATGCAGAAACTGATGAAGGCAGCAAAGGAAGGGACCAAAGACGGGCTCGAGAAAACCAAAGCTGCTGTGAAGCGGGGCCGCTCGTTCATTAGAACCAAGTCTTTTATTTCTCAAGGTCTGTGACCCAGGCATTCGCCTGGTGAGAGAACCCCTGCTTTGTAGGTCTCCTGTATCCTAGAGCATGCTCGTGGAGTAGAAAGCAGCCAGAGTGAATTCCTATACACCTTCAGTGGAGTGTGACCGTGGTCTGATTGTAACTTCTGTCGACCTCTGCATTGCTGGGTTGATGCAGCCCAGCTGGCCCAGAAGCAGCAGTGGAATAGTTGAGACTCCTGGGCAGAGTTTGTAAAGAAAAATCAATAGATTCTTCTAAGCAGCTGATTTCATTTATCTTTTTATGGTGTCTGCTCAGTGGATGATTAGGAATTAGTACATCCCGGGCCCTCATCCACCTGTTGTCTTACCTTCCCGTATCCAAGACAGTACAACATAATTGACTCTATATTTACAGTATATACTATATTAGCTCATTAGGTCATGCATATTTTCTGGCAAGGATTGAAATCTTAAGCTAAGAAGGAAACCTTTGAAGCAGGGATTTTAATATTTTTCTGGTGATGGGAGACTTGGAATGCCATCAGAATTTTTTAATTGCCCTAAAACAAATCTTTTTAAAACAGTAGCTTGTACTCTTTATGTATAACAATATATAACTGTCACATGTAGTACATATTGTTAATGTGTTAGAGGAAACTATTAGGCGTGCCACAAAGATAAACTGAGGCCAGGCGAGAGAGGAGAAAAAGACGTTTACTCAGCACTCCCAGGTAAGATTCACGGGTTCCAGCAAGGAGCCAATGAAGTCCATCTGTGGTGAAGAGCAAGTTTGTAAGCTGATCAGGAGCTTCAGCTATGGGGGCTTAAGCCGTCTCCATCCATGAAATTCCGAGGTCGGGTGGTACCTTGATCGTTCCACCTGATACCGAGGAGATGGCTCATTGTCCTGGAGCCCTTTGAAGCTAGCCATCTCGGTCCAATAAGAGCAGGGCAGGCTGTTCCTAATGCCCCCCACCGGTGCCTGACCCACCAGAAACCAGCCTCTAACAACTGAAGAGTCACTAAGTGCATTTGCATGGTTATAATATCTAAAGATTATAGTAAAGTCATAGAGAATAGGAAAGATAGGCGAGAGAATAAAATAAAAGAAGGAGACACATTTTATGGTAGCCTGCTCACCTCAGCCCCTCTTTGTGGCCCATGTGGAAGTGGGAGAAGAGAGAGAGTCTTTACTATCTTGGGATATTTATAGGTAGCCAAAAGACATGCATATTCAGTAGTTACACGCATCACAAGGTGGGTGGAATCTACAGGAAGGTCCCTGAGCTTGCAGGTGAGGAAACTTAATTGGGGGAAGGTATGAGAGGAGCTGGGTGACACGGCAGATGTCTGCCGCTTTAGAGGTAAAATTAACCAGCATAGCTATTGAAGGAGAATCTGTGGGAATGATATTTAAAGCAGAATAATGTACTTGGGCTTTACCTCTAACTTACCAAAGTGGCAGGTTTCCTACTGTGGAAAACTAGCTTTCCAGTTTCCCACTGCTATAACTTAGGGAATATAGTCGTCATCTTTCCCTCAATGTTAGTTTCCCACAATAATAAGTTGGATGCAGGGTGATTATGTAATATATCTGAGGGAAAAAAGGTTGAATCTTCTGTGCATTGATAGGTAAAGAATTGCAGGTATATAAAGGGCAACAGATAGATAACATCAAGCTGGCTCTGACTTGTGGCCACCCACGTGTGTCAGAGCACAACAGTGGCCCACGGGGCTCCCAGTGGCTGCTTTTCAGAAGGCGGTCTCTAGGCCTGTCTTCTGAGGTGCCTCTGGATGGAGGACTCAAAGCACCAGTCTTTTTTTTTTTTTTAATCATTTTATTGGGGGATCTTACAGCTCTTCTGTGTGTGTGTGTGTGTGTGTGTGTGTGTAAAAACTATTTTGATACATTTTCATTTACCAATCTCTTCTTTTTTGTTACTTAAAAGATCATGTTATTGGTAGTTCTTACAGCTCTTTATTTATTTTTATTTATTTATTTTTCTTACGAGTCTTGTAATAGTCTATACATCAATTGTATCAAGCATATTTGTACATATGTTGCCATCATCATTTTCTAAACCTTTATGTAATTTCTATTTGAGCCCTTGGTATCAACTCCTCTTTTTCCCCCCTCTCCCCCTCCCACCCTCGAAACCACTTGATAAATTATAAATTATTTTTTCATATCTTACACTGACTGCTGTCTCTCTTCACCCACCTTTATATTGTTCACCCCCCTGTATGAGGGGGATTATGCATTGATCATTGCAATTGGTTTCCCCTTCCTCCCCTCCTCCCCTACCTTCTCCCTGCCCTCCTGGTATAGCTACTCCTATTTCTGTTCCTGAGAGATTTATCTGACCTGGATTCCATGTCATATCTGTACCACTGTATATGCTCTGTCTAGCCAGAATGGAAAGGCAGACCTGGTGTTATGATAGTGGGGGGTGAGGAAGCCTCATTGAACCAGAGGAATATTGTGTGTTTCATCAGTGCTATACTGCACCCTGGTTGGCTCATCCCTTCCTTGTGACCCTTCTGTGAGGGGATGTCCTGTTGTCCACAAATGGATTTGGGTCTCTGCTCTGATATCCCTCATTCTCAATAATATATTTTTTGGTTTTTTGTTTATTAGTTTTGGGTCTTCTGATGCCTTTTACCTGATCCTCTTGACACCTCATGATTGCCAAGGCTGGTGTGCTTCTTCCACGTGGCCTTGTTACTTCTCTGTTAGATGGCCGCTTGTTTAATTTCAAACCTTTAAGACCCCAGATCATATATCTTTTGATAGCCGGACACCATTAGCTTTCTTCACCACATTTGCTTATGCACCCACTTTGTCTTCAGCGATCGTGTTGAGAGGTGAACATCACAGAATGCCAGGTTGTTAGAACAAAGTGTTCTTGTGTGGAGGGAGGACTTGAGCAGAGGCCTAAAGTCTGTCCACTTCCTCCATGTATTGGCATATAAATATATGTACATAGGCCAATACCTCTATTTTTATTAATTAAGATATTTACATAAGTGAACACCTATGTTTATACTCTGTCCATGACTTTGCTTCCTAGAGCTTTCCTCTGTTTACTTTTACCTTCCTCCTGCCCTGCCAGCATGCTCACCCTTCTTCTGCCTTTTAGTAATTCCTCTCAGCTAGATTTCCATTGCTCCAACACAACTTGGATCTCTACATACTCCTCGTTGCTTTTAATTCCCTAGTTGTTCCCCTGTCTAGGGTGTTGTTTGCTTGCCGCTCCTTTCCCTCACATCCTCCTCCTCCCGATCCCTCCAGAACCTTGGTCCCAGTTGCTTTCTCCTTCGGCTTGCTTCCCATGCCTATCTTATATTGGTAAGTACCACAATAACAGAGACCGCAATAAGAGAGACAAAAGAAAAGAAAAGAAAAGATTAAATACAAAGATAAAGAAAACAAAAGAAAAAAAACTAGCCAAAAAACCCCGAAAAATCATACATAATTCCAGGTCTGTCTGCTGACCTTTCTATCACCCCACTAGTTCTGAGGGGTTCCAGGAACTGCCCCTCTTAGCCTGAAATCTATTCTGGGGGCTCCTCAGATGTTTTGTGGCTGGCTTTGTTCCCGTTGCTGATCTGTTATGTCCCCTCTTGGTTCGCTCCACTGTGGGGTTGGTCAGACTGGACTCACTCCCTGCCTTGACTCCCCACTGTTGTCAGCACATCAGGTCTCCAGCGGTCGTCAGCCCTACAGTGCTCTCTGTGCCTTCGCAGCTCTGTGCAGGGGCGTCATCCTCGGGGCTTGGCATGCCAGTATGGGGTCTCGTCCCTTGCTCTCTCTTTTCCCTTCTTGGTTTGCTTCTGTGTGGATATGGCAGGCTGGCCCCTCTCCCCAGCCTGTAGGTTTAGTGTTATCCTCTGTAGCACATACTTCTAGGGGTGGGGGTGGGGGTTCAGGTTGGCTCTGATTGGGGCCGGCCCATGTGGTTACACTGCCCTCAAGGTTTGGCGCACCGTGGTGTGGTCTTCACTCACACTCTCATTTTTGTGGAGACATAAACAATACCCCCCCACCCCTTGGGTGGATTAGTGCCCCACTCCCCGAATTTAGGTTATTTCCAGTTCTTTAGAGCACAGATGACTGGTGGTGTTCTATTTCTTACCTCTTCTCTGGGTATATGCACAGTAGAGGGTATGCTGGATCATAAGGCAACTCAATTTCCATTTGCGTTAAATATTATCAGATGGCTTTCCACAGCAGCTGTACTAATCTACATGACCACCAGCAGTGGACGAGAGTACCTGTCTCGCCCCCCCCCACCCCCCAACATTTGTTGTTCTCTGATTTTTTTATTTGGGCTATCCTCAAGGCTGTTAGGTGATATCTCAGAGTTGTTTTAATTTGCATTTCTCAGATGACTAATGATTGGGAGGATTTTCTCATATAAAACATTCTTTTGCCTTAGGTTAGCTGCTGAGTGCATGAACCACCTAGCAACTCCCTGTTGAAAGTTTCTTATTTCAAGTGGTTGTTGAAAATAAAAGATTAGCAGGTGCTAATCGCTATGCTTCAGTCTTTAAAATCATATCTTGTCCAAGGATTGGCTTGGAAGACTAACGTAATTGGTGGCAAAATGAGTTAGGCTTTTTCTTTTCTTTTCTTTTCTTTCTTTCTTCCTTCCTTCCTTCCTTCCTTCCTTCCTTCCTTCCTTCCTTCCTTCCTTCCTTCCTT